CAAAGGTTGGGGGCAGCTTTATTCAAGCACTAATTTTATTTATTAACTGTTAATGAAAATTATAAATAACTGCTCTTTACCACCACTATTGAGCTAGAGTAACCACACCCAAAACAGTAGGACTCAGACTTTAACAGCTCAAGCACAGCATTACTTCTAAAAAAAGATCTCAGTTTAGGGAAAGAAGGTTCTTATCTCGTTTTGAGGCAATTGTTTATTGCTGTTGATAACAAGTGCTCATCACACTTCTCCACCTCTCCCTTTCTACTTACTATCTACTCTCATTGTAGACAATCAGGGTTCACCTTTTAGATATAGGGGTCCACAAGGAAATGGTCCATACCTGCCTGAGCTGTTATGACAAGAAGGCACATCACAGAGGTGATTTTCACCTACATCAAATGTACCTTTGTTCCTTTGTTGTTGTTTTCTGACTGCAGGCCATGAGTAGTATTCCTAACGATCTCCATCTGGAGGATTGTAAAGTACTAAAAAATACTTTAGTAACAACTGGTTGGTTGATTGGTTATAGGCCGTGGAGCCAGTTCTGACTCAGTGATCCTGTACAGAGTTTCAAGGCTGTAAATCTTTATGGGAGCAGAAAGCCTTATCTTTCTCCTTTGGAACAGCTGGTAGTTTCGAACTGCTGACATCAAAGTTAGCAGCCTAACTCGTAACCACTACGCTACTTAGACGGACCATTTGTTGTTGTTGTTAGGTGCCACTGAGTCAGTACCGACTCATAGCGACCTTATGCACAGCAGAACGAAACACTGCCGATCCTGGGCCAACTTCACTGTCGTTGCCACACTTGAGCCCATTGATGCTGCCACTTTGTTTATCCACCTTGCTGGGGGTCTTCCTCTTTGTCTCTGACCCTCCACCCTACCAAATATGATATCCTTCTCCAGCAACTGGTCCCTCCGACAATAATGGTTAAGAATCAGGCTGCTAACTTCAAGGTCAGCAGTTCAAAACTAACAGTGATCCCTCAGGAGAAAGATGAGGCTCACTGCTCCTGTAAAGATTTATAGCCTCAGGAACCCTATTCAGAGTCACTATGAGTCAGAATTGACTCCATGGCACACCACTACCAACCACCACTAGAAGGACCATGTTGTTGTTGTCAAGTGCCACGGAGTCAATTCTGACCCATAGCGACCCTGTATAGGGTTTCCAAGGAGCTTCTGGTGAGCTTGAACTGCCAAGCTTGCAGTTCAAACAGCTTTGCAGTCTGAAGCATTAACCCATAACGTCACACCGGGACTTATAGAGGGAATAATTACTGAATAATTAAGACCATAAAAGGAATCTTTGACTGAATATGAAACCAATGCCCAATTTTAAAAAACTTTTAAAGGACTAATTTCATTAACCTTTTCTTTAACCTACTGTTTTAATTGGCAAACTAGTAACACTAAGAATGGTGGATGAGGAGTACTTCTAAGAAAAATATTTTAAATGATTTTAACTGTACTGGATTGATGAAATTTAGACTGTTGAACTTGATAGCCAGCAACTAACTCAAGAAATACAGGAGCTACAAAAAAAGATTCTATGTGCTTTGAAGACACAAGAAAGTTCTGCTAGTTAAGGGAAAAGTCACTGTAATACAGAAACTATTTCTATAAAGTGATAAAATAATAAAATGAAATATATTAGGACTTACACATTCAAATGAGTGTTTGGTTGGAAACATTTTTTTGTTTCTCTTTTAGAAGCTACCTCCAGGGGTGGTTTATAAATCTTTAAAAAAATTAGACTAAAACTTTACCCAAAAGTTCATATTTTCCAACTTGACCCATTTACCATTATTTACAAGGCTAACTTTAACCTTTATTCTAATGGTGACTTGAGATTCAGGCCCATCGTACTAGCCTTCAAAACCTTTAATCATCTGCCTCATGAGTATCCAAAATAAAAATGAAACGCTTACCAAAGCTGAAGATATATAAGAGACACGAAAGAGAGTTAATAATGTGGTATGTTCTGAAATAAGTTCCAGAAGAGAAATCTCAAAACATTCTGAATATAACTTCACCAGAACAAATGTAGAGAAAGTGACTATTTTGAAGGGCAGGAACTGAATTGAAGGCAAACATTCTTATTTTCTTGTTCAAGAGTTAAGTTGTGAGAGAGAAGGGCTGGTTGGTCTAAAGTGTGGTTAGAACTGCGGACACTTGAGCCCATGGACAAGGACATAGCCACAGAGGGTTAGAGCTGAGAGTGAAGCATCCAGCTGATATGGAGATCCACAAAAACACCCAAACTTGCAGA